GCGAGTCGGTGGGGCCGCTGCTGTGAGCGAGGCGAGTAGAGCTTGGCCTGGGGGGGTGTCGACACCAGGGTCCCTTTCGCGGGGGGGTGGCTGGGGAGGGGGGAGGAACAAGCCAGGCTCACGGCAATGACTGGAGATCCCCAAGCCCCACGAGTGACCGGCCGCATTTTTTTCCCCCCTGGTAGCAGATTCTGGTTCCTGGTGTGCTGGGAGCAGAGGGGAGGGAGGGGGCTCGCCAGGGCCTGCGGTGGGGGGAATCGCCCCCTCCCCAGCCCTGCTGGGAGCAGAGCAGTGGGGGCTGTGCCAGGTCGCCCCCTTCCTTCATGGAAATCAGCCAGGGTGACAGCGGGGAAAGGGAGGGCAGAGCAGAGAGGGGTTGAGCTCTCTCCTAAGTCATCCGCCCCCCTCCCCACCCCGCTTTCCTTTCTGGGTCTCCTTTACAGTGTCCTCATGTACAGACAGGAGTTTGTCCCCGGATCTCCAGGACCCCATGCAAGACGACACCAAGGAGACGGACAACTCGACCTCCTCGGACAAAGAGACCACCAACAATGAGAACGAAGAACAGAATTCAGGCACTAAGCGAAGGGGGCCTCGCACCACCATTAAAGCCAAGCAACTGGAGACCCTCAAAGCTGCCTTCGCAGCCACCCCCAAACCCACCAGGCACATCCGGGAGCAGCTGGCCCAGGAGACCGGCCTCAACATGAGAGTCATCCAGGTATGGAGGCAATAACACCATCCCCGCTGCCTCTGCTCTCATCCGCTACCCCAAAGCTGGCTGCCCCACCACAGCTCTTCCCATCAACGTGCATCTCCCAAGGGTCAAACCCGAATTCTAGCTCTCCCAGCACCATGTCCCCTGCCTGCCAAAGCCATGAAGTGATGAGGACAGGAGCAATTGCCTTACCCAAAGTGCAGGAAGGGAAGGGACCAACCTGTGGAGGGAAGGAGAATGGGTGTTAGCTGGACCCCAGACTCCACTGTGCCCCCCGGCCTCAGCTGCTAGAGGGAGCCTGGAGCCAGTCCTGCCAGCTTCAACTCCCACATGGAGAAACAGGCACATGGACCAGCAAGGGCTGAGCAAACCCCATCCCTCTCCATCCACCTTTTGGCCATTTGCTCCTTGGTGTCCACAGGGCCCACACTGCACCTTCTGGTGGGTTAATGGACACATTCCAATGCACCAACTCCTTGGAAAAATGTGAAGACCAGTTCAAGAACATGAGCCATTTGGGCTCTTCCCAGGCTAGAAAACTCACTAGCCTCTTGCCAAGCTCATGACTTAGACCCAGGGTGGCTTCACCAGAAGCTGAGCAGGAACCCCTGCACCTGCAAGTCTTGCTAGGCCAAGACTGCCTGTCTATATCCAACAGGAGAAGAGGCAGCCAAAGCCCTTTCCTCTTTCCAGAGCTCATCCTCCATCCTTGGCAGCCGGCTCATCCCAAAAGGGCTGCAGGCATCCCAGGAGAGGATTCCTGCCCCTCAAAAAGCAAGGAAAGGCTATTGCAACCTCTGTGCAGCCCTCGGGCTACTACCATGCTGCCCTCCTGCAGAAAAACGCCTGCCAAAACATGCAGCATTAGCAGAGCTTTGCTGTTAGTGCAGCAGCAAGAGCCCCAGCCCCTGGTAGAGAGGGACAGAGAAAAGACCCCATAAAAAGATGCCTAGGTCTTTCCCTTCCCTTTTGTCTTCATCTTTCCTAAGCCAGCTTTTAATTCCCTCCCCATCCTACCTGAGGCTCAGCTCCCTGCATCCAGCCTGTTAATAGAGTTCTGCCTTCTTCCTCTCTGCCCTCCCTTGCAAAGGAAAATGCATTTTTCCGTATCCTCTTTACCTTCCCCTGTCTCCCCATGCAGGGATAGGCCAGGGTGCAGATTGTTGCAATCTCTCACCCCTCAATGGCCCTTTCAAGGATACTACAATTTCAATAAACCCCTCCGAGGTGGCAAAACCCTTCCCTACTCAGGAGGGCCCAAGAATGTCCCGTGACGCCTCCTGGTCTCCCCTATAGTATCACGGCAGCAGGTTCATCACAGCATCCCTTGCTCATCCCCTCTGTCCCTGAGGCAGCCCCAGGGCACCCGAGCCCCCCCAGGCCCCTCTGGGCAGGCGCTGACGGACGGCTCTGCCCCCAGGTCTGGTTCCAGAACC